TCACATACAGCAATAAAAGATGTCCCTAAAGAAAACCGTATCGCACACAAAGAATTCAGTGTTTTGGTTTATCTGAGTGACCACAAAGTCCCACCCAGAGAAAAATGTGTGAGCTGCCCTATTTCACCCTGCCTTTCTTTGACTGTCGGAGTTCTGCTGGTGAATTTGGCTACGATTACAAACTCTGTGGTCGAGTTAGTTCCCAACTTAGTGAGACGTCTGCAATGTGCCATGGTAGTTCTTTGCCATGTTAACACTGGGTTAGGTGGGGGCTTAGACCTATGCAGGGGAGTAAGCGGGAGGACGCAATTATCTTACTCCTAGGTGGGCTTCCCAGCTCCAGGGTCTGCGAGCAAAGGAGCATAGGACCATGGTGCACCTACGGACCAGCTTTCCCTGTCCGGTGACTGGGAGGGGAGCGAGAGACTTGTGTGAGCTGCAAATCCTGAACTTCTCCACCGCCGAGGTGGTTTGGTTCCAGGCCACCTCTACTGCGGAAGGGCAGCGTCTCGGTGAAGGCGGGCGGTTTCATGCAGGTTGCCGTGTGTATTCAGGAGACGTCCTTTTTAATCCAAGGCTTGAGCCCTAGAGATCACAGCGTTTCCGTGCTGCCGGACTCTGTGGGAGACACCTCCCTGTAGCGTCCTCCAAGACTCGGCCGCAGAGCTCACTAAACACGGGCCTCCTTCCCCCGGAGCTACAATAGCCTTGGGTAAGCGCATTCAGCCCCCCGCCCCGCCTCTTTCGACAAAGCATCAAAGCGCCGCTGAGCCTTCTGGAAGGGCTGTCGAGGGGAGACCGCGCAGGTTGGGGATTCAGGAGATGACCATTCAGTGCCTGCCTCAGCAGAGCTGGTCTTAGGGGCGGGAGAGCTGGGCGGTTGCCCGTGGCTGCCATTTTCAGGGCCGACAGAGCCAGTTAGGGGCGGGGCGGGGTGGGGCGTGACTGCGTTTCGGCTCAACCGCCTGAATCCTCCCTCCAGGTGTCTCTGGTTACTCCCCAATCTCCCCTCCTCCCCCACTTTTTTTTTTGTTTGACAAATTTTTTTTTTCTTTTGACAAATTTTTGTGTGATATTTTTTTAAACCATCTGGCAACCTTACGGGTGAGCTGGGCAGTTGCCTGGGACTGCCAATCGGTTAGGACCAGCCCTGTGCCTCAGCCACAAGCTACTTATATGGCCTTGAGCAACTCCCTTAATCCATCCCATCTCTGTTCCCCAGCGAGCCAATGGGGCTAGTATTTCTCTACCTGACAGGGGCACTGTGAGGATAAATCCCATTAATGACTCTGCAGCACTCAGACATTACTGAGGACCACCTAAACCCCCAGAGAGATGGGAACTCAGTCTGTCAGCACAGTGCCCAGTGTCCGGGGGGTGGTATTTGAGGGGATGGATGTGCAAGCACGTGCCGGGATCTTTCTTTTGTTGCGCCGCATCTCTCTCTTGTCAGCCGTGGTTTTCCAAGGTGACTCGCTCTTGCAGGGCCGAGGATAAAAACTATGACGCTCTTTCCCGCCCTTGCTTAGTGGGGACAGACAGTGGCTGACCCTGCAGCTAAGGAATTCCCTTACAAGGCTTCTGCACTCCCGGAAGGGCTGGAGAGCAGAAACAGGCGTCTTCCTTCAGACTTCTGCAGCCGTGACCTCTAAACCCTAAACAACGGTGGTTAAAAATACTCCCGCCCCAGGCCGGCCAGCAGTCTGTTGACACGCCACCCCGCTGGGGAGTCAGGGGGAAGACTTGAACTCAGGCCCTTGCGCCTCACACAGGCTGAGGTCAGGCATTTGTCCTTCTGCATCCAGGGAGTTTGCGCGTGGCCAGGAGCTGAGCTGTAAATGCTCTGGCAATGCAACGTGCCCTCGTCTGTCGCTCACTGCGGAGGGAGCGAGCGTGCTTAGACTCGCCCTGGATCAGGCTCTGGGAGCGGGGCTCCATGTCCGTCCCTGAGGTACGATTCGGGAGATGCCGGTGTTCCCAGCCAGCTGCCGGTCTCCTATATTCAATGCGAGGAAGTGTGTGAAATTCCATGGACGTTGGTATAGAACATTCCTGCAGCAGGCAAGGGGGCAGAACAGGGTCGTGTCGAGTAGAAATAACGCTCCGCAGATGGCTAAGAACATAAGAATGGCCACACTGGGTGAGACCAAAGGTCCATCTAGCCCAGTGTCCTGTCTGCCCACAATGGCCAGTGCCAGGGTCCCCAAGGGAATGAACAGAACAGGGAATTATCAAGTGATCCCTCTCCTGTCACTCATTCCCAGCTTCTGACAAACAGCGGCCAGGGACACCATCTCTGCCCATCCTGGCTAATAAATATTGATGGACCTATCATGAATTTATCTAGCTCTTTTTTGACCCCTGTTAATGTCCTGGTCTTCACAACATCTTATGGCAAGGAGTTCCACAGGTTGACTATGCATTGTATGATGAACTACTTCCTTTTTTTTTTTTAAGTGTAATGCCTGGGGTCAGGGGTGTAAAGTCTCCTTCCCAATATCACCTCACTCCCTGTATCCAATGTCCTCCTAGAGGTCAACAGCTTGGCAACCCAAGGCACGTCAGCCAGTAGTCAGCGGGGCGTCTGGGGAAGCCCTGACATGGGTTGGGGTAGACAGCTGACAAAATGACTTCTGAGCTGTGTGCTGCACAGGTGGTATCATAAAACCCCCAAGCGGGTTTCCTGGCTGGGTTCTTCACTCGGAAGACAAAAGAGAAGGCGCCGGCTCACAGTAGCTTCCCCCGAGAATAAGATTTTTCCTTTCACGCAGAATAAGGAGTAACGTGCCTGAATTGTATGAAAGAATTCCTCCTCCCCCTCCCCCCACCCATGACCCGAACTGATCAGATCGACTTTTTTTCCCCCCACTGCAGGATTCTGTGACACCTTCAACATCGACACCAAAAGGCCACGCATCATCCCGGGCTCTAAGGACGCCTACTTTGGCTATACCGTGCAGCAGCATGACATCGCTGGGAAGAAATGGTAAGGGAGCCCCGCGGGTCTCGGTGGTCTGTCGCGGGGAAGAGTGGTCGGTCCCTGACACCACTCTGTGCAAATCGCCAAACGTGCCCCACCTCTCGCCCAAGGCGCCTCCTCTGAGAAGGCATCTCTGTGGCCTTCTGCACGGAGGGAAACCCCGAGATGAATTCCGCTCAGTCAGGCTGGTGTAAAGCCACTGCCATCCGCGGAGCACCTCCTGATGTGCACGGCCGGCTCCAGATACTGATGGATTTAGGCGTACGTAGGAGAGAAGGGCTCTGAGTTGGAGGAGCTGCTCCTAGCTTTGCATGCTTCTGCTCTGTCATCCCTGATCTCCTCCAAGCTATAGTTCCCCCGTGGGCAAAATGGGATGGAAAATAAGAATGTCCCTCCCGCCCCCATGAGATTGGGCTGCTCTTTGATGCTTGGGGAGATCTTTGACTTTCCATAGCACCTCCCCTCTGAGGTGCTGCAAGCATGATCCCCGCAAGAGGCTCTGTCACACAGAGGACTTGTTTCCCTGATGGGTGTTCCGTGGAAGCTGATGGGAAGCTTTTTTTTCACTCAGTGCAGAGTTTACCTGTGGAACTCCTTGCCAGAGGATGTGGTGAAAGCTAGAACTTTAACAGGGTTCAAAAAAGAGCTAGATAGCCATTGATGGACTTAACCTCCATGAATCTATGAGCCAGGATGGGTAGAAATGGTGTCCCTGGCCTCTGTTTCTCTGGAGGTGAGTGACAGGGGAGGGATCATGTGATGATTATCTGCTGTGTTCCCTCCCTCTCAGGCACCTGGTATTGGCCACTGTGGGCAGACAGGACACTGGGCTGGATGGACCTTTGGTCTGACCCAGTCTGGCCGCTCTTATGTTCTTATGTTCCCGGTCCTGGCTCTGATCGTAGGGCTGCGCGGCACATGGCTCGTTCCATTCTCATGGACATTAACTCTGGTCTCACTTCAGTTCCGTTCATGACTCCAGGGCAGGACCCCGGAGAGGGGGGCTAAGGGGGCAACTTGGCAAGAGCGGGCTATTTCCATCGCTGCTGGAGCACCGTGCGGCTTGCTCCAGGTGGGTCTGAGGACTAGCTGGGGCAGGGCACAGCATGGGCTCACCGGTGCTGAGAGCTGGCTGGCCCCAACCCCGCCCCTTTTCCCTAGGCACTGTCTCTTCCATCCTGAGCCCGGCCCCTTCCAGGAGCAGGGAGCTCCCTCCCCATCTCCGACTTTCTCCAGTGCCCAGTGAGGCTGTCGGCTCCCCTGCTCCTGGGTTCTCTTTGAGTTTTGGTGTCCGGGACTCGGAGCAGAGCAGCCTGGCTTCTGGTCAGAGCCGTTGCGTTTTACCTGCTCTCCTCGTAGGCTGGGTTACTGGGGGCCAGCAATGAACGTTGAAACGTGGATGAATTTTATCTGGTTTCGGTTTCCTGAGGAAAGTGTCCCTCCTAGCCAGTCGCTTACGCAAGGCTGGAGCGCGCGAGCCTGCCTGGGGCAATATGATGATTCACCCGATGTTAAAAATGTCTGGGTGCTGCTAGAAGGAGTGCAGATATTTCCCTTAATCCCTTTCCCTGCCGCTCGTCCATATTTACCCCCTCCCCTCCCCACAGCCCCAAGGTCCCTTCCCCTCCCCATCTCTGCTCCCTTCCAAATGCCACAACTAGCTGCAAAACCCAACACGTTCCCCCCCATTCTCTGACACCCTCGCTTCTCCCCAGTCCCTTGGTTTGGACCGGAAAGTTAGACCACTCTGAACATGTTAGGAATGGCTCATGTTGGTAGGGTGGGGAGAGACGGTCTGTCTGCCCAGTGTCTTGCCTCCCTTTGATCTTACCATCCCATTGTTCGTGAAACGTGACTGCATTCTTCTAGCTCTTTACTAGCGCT